CATCTTCACCCCCAAACGCAAAGCGAAAATGACGGCAAACCATCGCATCGCGGGCGGGAACCAAAAGGCGTACGTAGAGCATCAAAATGGCCTAGCAAACCCGGCTGTTCTAGCAGCTTTCTCGTGATCCGTGATCTCTCGCCGCAGCAAGGTCCTTCAAGGAGATGGGGAGGGTGGGGGGGAGGAGGAGGAGAGAAGGAGGGTGTGGGAAGAGGGGGGGGGTGGGGGAGAAGGGGGGAGGTGGAATGGGGGAAGGGAAGAGGGTAAATGAGATAACGCTTTTCTTTTTCTGTTCTCGGTCTTGTCTTGTGTCTGTTGTCTCGTCTTTTCTCTCTCTCTATTCTCTCTCGCCCTTTTCTGTCTCTCTCTCTTCTCTCTCTCTCTCCTCCCTCCTCTCTCTCTCTCTCTCTCTCTCTATCTGCATATCTACCTTTTCATCTATCCACCTAATCTATCTATGATTATTTATTAATTAATATCCTTACTTTCTCTTCTCTCTCTCTCTCTCTCTATGTCTCTCTCTCTCTCTATCTCTCTCTCTCTCTCTCTCCTCTCTATCTTAGCTATCCATCTCTATATCTATCTATCTATCTACATACATACCTCACTCCCTACTTACCGACCTAACAACCCACCAACTTACCCACCTACCCACCTACCCACCTACCGACCTACCTACCTCCCTCACTACTTACCCACCTACCCACTACCGACCTACTTACCCACCACCTCTCTCACAGCGTGCGATATAAAGGCATCCTCGGCCAGAATCCCCTTAGATCGATACTGTCATCCTTTTGTTACACTTTGTTTGGTTCTTCACAAAGTGGGATAGTCTATGCTGTCTTAATGATATTATGCGATCAGGACGGCTCTTTCGCTCTGAAAAGGGAAGAGGAGCAAAAGGAAGAGTATAAGGAAAAGTAGAGAGAGAGTCGAGAGAAGGGAAGGAGGGAAGAGAGGGATGGGAGAAGGAGAGAGGGATTGGAGGGAAGGAAGGAGGGTAGAGGGAGAGGGAAGGAGGAGAGGGGAGGAGGGAGGAGGAGGGAAAGAGGAGGGATGAGGGAAGGAGGGTAGAGAGGGAGGGGGAGGGTAGAGAGGGAGTAAGGAGGGGAAGAGGGAGAGGGAGAGAGAGAGATTTAAAAGGAGAAAAGGGAAGGGTACGAGAAGGGAATAGAGAGAGGTAAAGATAGAGATAGATATTATAGAGTTTTTTCTTAGTTAATAAGGAGAAGGAGAGAGAGAGAGAGAGAGAGTAGGAAAGAGGAGAAGGGAGAGAGAGATTGAGAGAGAAGAGAGAGAAGAGAGAGAGAGAGAGAGAGAGAGAGAGGGAAGCGAGAGAGGAGAGAGACTAGAGAATCGAGAGAGAGAAGAGCGAGAGCAAGGCGAGAGAGGCAAAACAGATGCTCAATCGGGAATGAATCCGAGGGGGGGGGGGTGAGGGGAAAGGGGGGGGCGGAGGATGCTGACACTGATGGTGCTGATTAGAAATGAACGGCTGACGAATGTTCGCGTTAGATGAAGAGGTGAAGATGATGAATGAATGGGTGGATAGCAAATAGTGATGATTTTAGGGACAGTGGTTGAGATTGATGATTGTGTGTTCAGAGCGTGAGAGAGTGATGTCCCGGGCAGGTAGTGAGTCATCGCGGTGTTGCCAGGTGGTACGTAGATGGAGTTGTCAGATGGCGTACGGCGGTGTTGTCATGCGGTGTTGACAGCTGGCTCGATCAGAGGAGGAGAGCGACGGATACGCAGGTTGTTCCTGGAGGTAATTAGATCAGGATGATGTTATATTTAAGTGACGCGCCGTCGAGCTCGCGTCAAAACAACCTCAGGAACAGCCAGCAGACAGCAACAGCGAGGGCGGCAGGTGGTGGTGACGGCGGCGGTGCATGGTGGTAACAGCCGAAAGACGGTAGGTGGCTGACGGCGGTGCAGGTGGTAACAGCGAAGGACGGTAGGTGGTGACGGCGGCGCAGGTGGTAACAGCGAAGGACGGCAGGTGGTGGCGGCGGCGCAGGTGGTAACAGCGAGAGGACGGCAGGTGGTTGGCGCGCGGCGCAAGGTGGTAACAGCGAAGGACGGCAGGTGGTGACGGCGGCGCAGGTTGGGTAACGGCGAAGGACAGCAGGTGGTGACGCAGGCGCAGGTGGAACAGCGAAGGACGGCAGGGTGGTTGACGGCGGCCAGGTGGTAACAGCGAGGACGGCAGGTGGTGACGGACGGCGCAGGGAGGGTGGTACAAGCGAGGACGGCAGGTGGTGACGGCGGCGCAGGTGGCAACAGCGAAGGACGGCAGGTGGTGACAGCGGCGCAGGGCGGACGGCAGGTGGTGACGGCGGCGCAGGTGGTAACAACGAAGGCGGCAGGGTGGTGACGGCGGCGCAGGGTGGCAACAGCGAAGGACGGCAGGTGGTGACGGCGGCGCAGGTGGGTAACAGCGAATGATGGGCAGGTGGTGACGGCGGCGCAGGTGGTAACAGCGAAGGACGGCAGGTGGTGACGGCGGCGCAGGTGGCAACAGCGAATGATGGCAGGTGGTGACGGCGGCGCAGGTGGTAACAGCGAATGGATGGCAGGTGGTGACGGCGGCGCAGGTGGTAACAGCGAAGGACGGCAGTGGTGACGGCGGCGCAGGGGTGTAACAGCGAAGGCGGCAGGTGGGACGGCGCGCAGGTGCAACAGCGAAGGCGGCAGGTGGTCGCTGAAGCAATACGCGTGGACGAGAGCGAGCTGGTGAGTCGAGCGTGGAGTTACAGCGTCAGAGTTTTTTGCCGGGCGTCGCCCCCCCACCTGGCCCCACCGGGCCAAAGAGCGGACACCGATGACGCTTTTACCTCCTATCCGCTCTACATTCTTGCCACACTGATTTCAGGTGTTGTTATTCTAGCTTTTCTCTCTCGCTCTCTCTCTCTCTCTCACTCTCTCCATATCTTCGTAAAAATGGTCTTCGTTACGTTTTCATTATCATTGTTATTTTCTACCTCATCTCTCTCTCTCTTGTCTCTGTCTCTGTCTCTGTCTCTCGTCTCTCTCTCTCTCTCTCTCTCTCTCTCTCTCTCTCTCTCTCTCTCTCTCTCTCTCTCTCTCTCTCTCTCTCTCTCTCTCTCTCTCTCTGTCTCCATTCCTTCGTAAAACTCATTACGTATCTGCCTCTCTTTTTACGGTGTTTTAACCCATCTTACGTACATGTCTTCCCTTGACGCACAGCCCCTGACGCACACACACACACGCACACACACACACACACACTGCGCCGTGATCTTTGTCTGTGATTTCTTCGCCTTTGTGTCCAGAGAGTAGAGCGCTGTGTTGGGGGGAGGGGGGGAGAGGGGGGAAAGGCTATTCACGGAAAAAGGGGGAAAATGTATGTGAACCATCCATAATTAGTCCGGGATTTTACACTTCTGGGAAATCTTATTCGATACCTCTTTGCTTCGCCCCTTTTTCGTCAAGAAGGAAAAGAGAGAAGAAGAAAAAAAAAAAAACCGTCGAGGATACAAAGACATGAAAGCAGTGTGTGTTTGTGTTTAAGAGAATGTCTTTTGGGGGCGAGAAGGAGACGGAGGAGGAGGTGGGTTTGGGTCCCGCTGGCGAGGCTATAGCGACCTTTGCTCGAGTGGCTGGTGTCAAGGGAGTGTCAAGTGGCAGCGCATGACACGTCTTTTGATCGGGCCGTCGCGCGCCTCGCTCCTTTAAAGGTCGTCTAATTATAGGTACGAGGATATATAGATATGAATAGATAAATGTTTAGACAGACATTTAGATAAATATAGATGGGTAGATAGACATATAGATAGATGAAATAGACTGCTTGACAGATAGATAGCAGGTATATAGATGCACAAAAACACACACAGTGTAGTGTGTCTGTGTATACATATAAATACACACACACACACACACACACACACACACACATACACACACACACACACACACACACACACACACACACACATATATATATATATATATATATATATATATATATATATATATATATATATATATATATATATATATATATATATATATATATATATATATATATATATATATATATATATATATATATATATATATATATATATATATATATATAACTTTACCCCCTGGAGATTTACACCTCCCTCATTACTCGCTTTGTTAGCGTCAGGCGCACAAATTGTTTCCATTGGACGCGTGATTATAATTGATATCAAAGCAAACCCGCGTCGCTCCGGTGGGTCGATAAAATTAATCATAATGATTTGTTGCGGAGCGGCGGTCGCAGCCTGTCGCGAGCCGCCGCCGCCGCAGAGAAAAGGGAATCGCAAAATCCTTTCTTCTTCCTTCTCAAACGCAATCGCTAACGGAATTTTCCTCTGCAGATAAAAATAGACGAGTTGTGAGTGAAAGTCGATATGAAGACGAGCCTCCGATTCGACGGCTTGGAAATCACTCAAGAGGAACTAACATGTTAACGCCATCACGGCCCTTCGTGGGAGCGGACTCCCCTGTTGAGCCTCCCAGGTCATCATCCTGTGACCTTGTGGCTCGGGTTTGACCACCTGCCCGCCGCCGTCCGAGTCTGCCACGCTGCCTTCCGCTAGCCAATTATCCCGAGATGTGACCAATCGTTGTCTGGACAATTTCCTTGCGATAGTTCGAGTTCGCTGTGCGCATGTCATTGTCTTTCTTTCGTCTTCGTACTTTTTCTTTCTTTTTCTATTTTTGTTCCGCGTGTAGGTCGCGGTTCAAGGGTGATGCGTGGATAGATCTGATGAGATCTTCGCTCCTGTTTATTGTCTCTCTATTTCGTCCATTGTCGTGGTGTTGGTACGGGCGGTCGGGATTGCGGAGGGACCGCTCTCCCGGGTTCTATTTTGTTTTGCTTCGCTCTTACGTCCCTTTTTGTCGTCTGCTTCTTGTGTGTCCGTCCTGCATCGCGAGGGTAATAATTAAGAGGTCAATAGCCCATGACCTTGGCCAAAGAGTTGAAGGAGAAACACACTTAATAGCGAATGACCGCCACCTGCCTTCCCTCCCCAACCACTGCACACTCGCACGCCAGACGCACCCGCTTTCCGGCCTTTGTGGTAGCGCGGCATCTCCGGCGCCGCCCCCTCGCTGCCGCAGGTGTGGTGGGCGCGTGGCAGCTGCCGCATCCCTCGTGGCCTTCGAGAGTTCATAGACACCTAGAAGATTCGACCACCAGTTGGCCTATGGCGTGACCTCGGAGAGAGGCCCTCGGAGGCCCACCTCGCCCTCTCGGACAAAGGGGAATGCGTGGCTCGCCGGGGCGGGCGGGGGCGGCCGGCCGAGGGACTGTCTTCCACGGGTTTGTTTACGTATCGCGGGGAAGCCGTTTGTAAACAAGGCTCAACATCTGCGTCGCTCGAATCAGGTCCTGTTCGTCCCTGGCGTCACGTACGGCCGTTTCCGCGCTGCGTCAACATCGCCTCCTGCAGGTGGCGTGGTCGCGTGGCAGCTGCCGCCTCCATCCTGCCGCCTGCATGGCCTTCCAGAGTTCAAAGACTTTCGGGAGAGTCGCAGGCCAGCTGACCCGCGCGAGCCTCGGCGTCAGAGCACCAACTCCAACTCTTCCTGCAGGTGGCGTGGTCGCGTGGCAGCTGTGCTTTCCAAGGCGCCTCGCGTGGCCTTCAGGAGTTCAGCCACACGTCCAAAGGGCCCGGCCACCAGCTGACCCACAATTCCCAGGATTCGGTGCGTGTGCGTCTGGCTGTCTCAGGTTTCGAGGGCGAGGGGCCCGCGAGCGGTGCCCGCGAGGGCGTTGGGGGGGAAGCGTCATGGAAGTGGGGTTCCAGGAGGGGTGGACGGGAGACGTCAATGTAATGTGGGCGGTTCAGGAGTGGCGGTGGAGGGAGACGTTCATGAATTGTGCGGTTCAGGAGGGCGTGGAGGGAGACGTCATGGGAGATGTGGGCGGTTCCAGGAGGCCGGAGGGAGAAGCGTGCATGGAATGTGGGCGGTTCCAGGAGGCGTGGAGGAGAACGTCATGAATGTGGCTGGTCCACAGGAGGGCCGGGGATGGTGCCGAGCGGGACTCACTGGATATGTGTCAGGCCATTATGCATATACTACTATTATGTCACCGTCTGGTTCTCACATTTCGGGAAACAATATAGAGAGGGTCGAGCGGAGATGTGCGGGTATATTCACGTTAGGTTTTGGGACTTGCGTCTGTGCGGGCGTTTCTGTTCTATCGCAGGGAAAACCCCGAGGATGCGAGCCGGCAGGACGGCAAGAGAAGAATGATGGCCATTCGACTGGTTTGCAACATGTCGGGGAATTGCGGCACGGTATACCGGTACGGGCCACTTTACGGTCGCGATCCCTCGCGCACAGACCGCGGATGGAGCACAGATTTTTCGAAGAGAGGAGGGAGCGAGAACGAGTTGCCCGAACGCGTCGACAGTAGGCGTCGTAAAGGCACAGGCATAGAATGTACCAGGAAGGAGGGAGTGACATAACACAGTAGCTTCGAATTGCTACCTGAAGTTAGTGTCTCGGCAGTGTTCCAGACATGTAAGCGGTAGCCAGGATCGTCATTACACATGTAAAACCTGAACCCGGTTGGCAAGCCATGAATTCGCTCGAAATAACGAACCTCGCTTTTTTAGCGTCTGTTCGCGCTTACAAGCCGGGACTCTTTTGTGTGGGCAAAACATGTAATATATACATTAATATATATATATATATATATATATAATATATATATTATATAATAACTATACACTATAAAGGAATAAAGTAATTATTTACTGTGTTGCGTTGTTGTGTGTGTGATTGTGTGTGTTGTGTGTGATGTGAGGTTGTGTTTTGTGGCTGTGTGGTGTGTGTGCTGGTGTATGTGATGTGTGAAGTGTATGTATATAGATGTATTGCGTCACTAAGATTTTAATATCAGTATATTAAAAATAATAGTAACGATTGAGAGTACGATTAACAGATAGATATGATATGTAGAATGGACATAGATATAACTATACTTCTTGTATAGTAATGTATTGATTATAAGATAGAACAGATTACATAGATTATATGACTTATATTTTTAAATATAACGTCATATATTGAAATTTCACACACACAAGGAAGAGTGATTTTTTTTTTTTTTCTCTCTCTATCTCATCTCTCTCTCTGTATCATCTCTCTCGATCTCGTCAATCTTCTTTCTCTCTCATCAATTCGTTACCCAGGCCATACGTGCGTGGGCTCAGTATCTCTCTTCCCATTTATATTAGTCCTTACGATTATGATCTCCACTTGCCATATCTAGTCGATTAACATCGATTATAAATGGATAACAGAAATCTTCAAACCTTTTCACTCACTGACTCGCTGATACTATGAATAAGGTAATGATCGCAATCGAGGGAAATAATACGAGTCATATGGTCCGCCGTGCAGGATTCATCGGTTATATGATTTGAACACACATCAAGAACACCGTGTTTAATATTCATTAACCCTTTGAAAAAATGAAATCCGTCGTGTAGGCCCCTTCCTCGTCTGGCCGGATATGAAAATTCGTCTGGGGCTCGCGTCGGATCAACAGATCGCATTGTCAGGACGGAGCTCGGTTGTCTCGTGGCGAACAGCCACGTGCGATGGGGGGTCGGGTCCAGGTTGGCGGTGCATGCCCTCAGCCATTGCCCAGCAAACTTCCATTGTCATCGAGCATCAATCTTTTACCCGACACGGACGGTGACGCAGCGTGGGGGTGGAGTAAAGAGGCCCCAACGGGGGCGTGAACGGCGACAGGGGTTTTACCCGGAAGTCCGTGCGGGCAGAGGCGTCCGTTGTCTATGGTGCGAGAGCTGAAGGCCCGCTGGTCGAGCCCTACCGTCGTGACGGGTGAAGGGGATGCTTGCGACGAAACCGCGTGGTTGCGTCAGCTTGCGCGGAGGTGAAACGTTTGTGGG